GGGCCTTCACCCATCTGAAGACACTCGGCTGCCTCCTCGGCTGCCTGGCCCAGCCCTGGTGCGGTCACAACCCAGACACAGCAGCCACTGTCCGCTCAGCCGCGGGGTGGGGCACCCGGGCCCAAGGCCCGCTCTGTGGCCTGTCAGGAGATTTACACCCGACTCTTAACAACCGCGCGGAATCGCGGGCGGGTGCTGGGCCCCGGGTGGTCTGCCTTGAATCGGCCCCCTGTGAGCAGATGAAAGCTGGTCGGTGGCTGGGCAGGGAAATGGGCTGGCGGGGGGCCAGCGGGCAGGGCGGCAAGCGGCTCCCTCCCAGGGCTGCAACTGGGGCTTCCAGCAGGCCTGGGGTTGATTAGGGGAAGCTGGGAGGTCTGAGGTTAACCCCTTCTCTCCTGCTGGGTGCACTCCCCTGGGGATTTAGGGGATCCTGGGAGCCGGGGCCAGAAACTGTTGCCTCTCCACGACTTGGATGTCCCTCTGCCTCCCCACACCTGGAGCTGAGAACAAAACTGTGGCAACTTCAGGACCCTTAAAGGCCCAGAGACAGGCTTAGTTAGGGTCACTTCCCCTGCCCATGCTGTCTGGGGCCCCCAGCAACCACTGGCTCTGGGCTTCCTTCCTTCAGACCTCTCTGGTCCAATGTCACCTCCACTCCCTGCCCACATCCCATCCCTGCCCTCTCCACCGCTCCCCCCAGCTCTGTTTTTCTTCCTAAAATCTCTCACTACCTGAAATTAAGTCAGTTAATCATTTATTTATTTCATTTATTCAACAAAGAGTTACTGAGTACCTCCTAAGCGCTCATGTCTGTATTTTGGGGTCTAGGTCAGTACCTGGCAAAGCAGAGGAAAGAAACTCTGCCCCGTGGAGCATATACACTGGTCAGGGGAGATAAGAAAGAAACAGAATGAGTGAACTCTATAGCATCTTGGAAGGTAATCGGGGCTCTAAGTTAAATCGAGGCTGGTAAGTATGGGTGGGGTGTGCATGATTTGAAACGACATGTCAGGGGAGAGTTCGCTGAGAAGTTAGAGTAAAGCCTTCATTCAGGGTGGGAAAGAGCAAGCCATGCGTCCAGAGGCATCTGGGGAGGAGTGCTCCAGGGAAAGAGAAGAGCAGTGCAAAGGCCCTGAGGCAGGGATGTGGCTGCCCAGTTGGAAGACCAGCCAGGAGGCTGGGGTGGCCAGAGTAGGGTAAGCAAGGAGGAGGATGGCAGGGAGGAAGGCAGGGGGTAATGGACACAGAGCAGGTGGGGCCCTGGGGGCCACGGTGACTAGAATACTGTTCACCATCTTTCCCTACCTCCAGTGTCTAAGACCCAAGAGGGACGGAGCCTGTCTCCTGGGTTCACTGAGCATGCCCAGCTCCTAGAACAGTGCCAGACACATGAAAGGTGCCCAGGAAAATATTTGTTGAAGTCATTCCATGTACATTTTTGGGAAGAAAGGGCCCACAGGCAAGGTGCCTGAAGCACCCGGCTCTGCCTCAGGCAGGATTAAGAACTTGGGTCCTACCCTTTCAGGTACCAGCACCTGCTAAGCCAGGAAGATGGGGGGAGCGGTTCTTAAACCACGGTCCTTGCCAGAAGTGCCAGGCCCTGAGCTGCCTCCTGCCTGAATCCTGGATCCTGCTCAGCCACCTGTTTTTTTAACCAGCCCCTGGTGACTGTGAGGGACACCAGCACTGAGAACCTCAGAAACCAAGGCCACACAGGCAGGAAGCCACCAAGCCAGCCTTCAAACCCAGCCAGCCACCTGGCTACAGATCGGGCATGCTCAGCAGGGCACCAGAGGGGAACGACCCAGCCACAGAACCCACAGCTGGGCCTCAGGGATAGGTAGACTCCCACTCCTTGCCTCCCAGGACCAGCCCCTACTCCCACCCCACCCCACCCCACAGAAGGCTCAGCCCTCACATGGGGTTGGGAGTCACCAAACGGGAGAAAAGCCCAGAAAGGAAATCCTGTGATCATCCATGAGGGTTTGGGTACTTCCTGCGCGGCTGGGCAGCTGCAAGCTCCTTTCATGCCCAGGACACCTCCCCAGAGCAGATGTTAATATCATCCCCATTTTACAGATGAGCACAGGGAGGTGGGAAGGCCCTTCTAAGGGGCCCTCACTTCCCTGAGTCCTAGATTGGAGCCCCTGGGTGGGGGGCACTGAAGTTCACCCTTGAGCAAGGGGCTCTGTATCCTGCCCTGTCCCCTCCTGGTGTGACTGAGGACCCATGAGCAGGGATTTTGCACTAGGCCTGGTGCATGGGGAACGTCTGGCGACCAGCAGTGCCGAGCTGGTCTCTTACCTCGTATAGGTGGGGAAAGAGAGGCCCAGAAAGGAAGAGGATTTGTCCAAGGTCACACACTAAAGGCCAGGTCAGGGTCAGAAGCCAGGGTGCTGGTGAGACCTGACCTGCGGGCCTGAGTGGGCAGTGAGGGGCAGAAGAAACGCAGGGCCTCGGGATGGGCGGCCTGGAGAACTGCCCCCTCCCACGGCGGCTCTTTTCTAGAAATCTGCTTCTGCTAAGATTTTGTTGAACAAGTCTCTTTAAACCCATGGGTCTGGCCCGTGCCCAGGCCGAGAGGGGCACCACCCACCTCAGCACACAGAGCCAGCCTAACCTCCGACTCCAGGCTATCTCCTGGCCCAGCTTCCTTTCCCTCCTCTTGCTGCCTCATCTCCCTTAAGCCTCTGCTGCTTTGTCTTGTGTCACCCCTTCCTTCCTCAGCTCACTGCCCAGAAGGGCTGTCTCAGGTCTGGGGGACCCCGGGAGAGAAAAGCAGGCAGAGGATTTGAACTAGGGGCTCCCAAAGGCAGAGCTGAGCCTCTCTCCTCATCCAGGGGCCTCTAGGGGGAGGGTGGGCAGCTCTCGGCTGAGCAGGGCTGGACGTGGACCCCCAGCTCGCAGGCCTCCATGGACCAGCTGCTTTGTGGAGTGGCTGCTAAGGGCGGCATCAACACACGGAGCCCAACCGTGGCTCCCATCCGCCCCGATTCTGCCCCTGGAGACAGAGTGGCATGTTACCTCCGTTACCCCTCTAAGGCCATGGCTTAGGTTTCTCAGCAGCCACGCTGCTGCTGACCCAGAGAGGGTCACCGTCCCCGAATGGCGGTGGTGGTGGTGGGAATGCATGGCCGCGGTCAGGTACTGGGGATAACAGGACACCGTAGATCCAGTGACTCACCCGGATCCTCCCTCTGCCACAGCCAGATGCTAGCCACATGCTGTCACTGATCTCTAGGCCCGCAGCGTGGGGGTATCACCCCACTTCTGGGAGGAGGGGCGGAGGCCCAGAGATGCCAGTAACTTGTCTGGGGTCCTTCAGCCAGGCCGGCTGACTCAGAACTTGTTCTCTGTGCCATGGAGGCCTATAGCTCACAAGGGCTTCCCAACCATCACCACCTGAGACTCTTGGGATCACTGACCCAGTTCACAGATAACAAAACTGAGGCCAAAAAGAGCACATGGGTTGTCAAAGTCTATAGAGCCCAAGGCCAGGGGTGTGGATCCAACCAAGGCCAATCCCAACAGGAATACGGCCAGAGCAGATACCAGCCTGCGAGCCTCATGGCCAGATGCAGGAGCTCAGGAGGATGGAGGGTGTGCCCTAAGAGCCTACAGGGAGTCATCCCGGGCCACTAGGCCCAGCATTATGCCTTTCCTAGGTGGCCAGTCCCTGGAATAGGACCAGGAATTGGATAGATGGGGAGCCAAGCCAGTCCGATTCCCAAGAAGGAAGGGGCCAGCCCACAGGGCAGGCCTGGGTGGCCCTCACTGATGACACCCTGGCATAGCCACACCCCTGTTCAGAGCTTCCTGGGCTCAGGTCCCCATTCTGTCTTCCTGCCCCAAGTCCACCCAGCTTAGAATGGAAATGCAAGACTGTCTCTGGGAAGACAGGGCACCTCTCAGCAGATCGTGGGAGGCCCTGGCAGGTTCTCAACATCCCCTGGCCTAGATTCTCTCCTCACTGGAACTGGGGTGACCGTTTGGCTTTGCTCTCACAAGGATCCCACAAGATAATGAATGCGAGAGGGTTTTCTGAACTGCAAAGGGCCACTATCACAAAGAGAAAGTCAGGGCCACTCTCCATACCCCACACTGAGCACGCTGCAAATCCGGGGGCGGTCCAGGCGAACGCTGGTCAGGACGCTGGTTGGAAAGCAGCCAGTCCAGAGAGGACCAGCTGGTTCTCAGTTTCATTCATTCATTCATTCATTCATGCATGGAACGCAAGCCTCTGGCCCACTCTGCGGCAACCGCCCCACCCTCCAATTTCCCTGATCTAAATCTGCAAACTCCAGGCCCTTCAGCAGGCAGAAGCAATGAAACACAACTCTCTCTGATGCTAAAACACACACATCAGGACTCCCTGCACATAGTAGGTGCTCAAAAAATATTTGCAGAATCAATTTGCATTCCTGAGTGTGGGTTTTGGGGTCAGAGTGCTTGGGCTCTGTGTGACTTAAGTCAGGTAACAGATCCAGAGAAAGTTTCCAAGGAGGGGATCCGGCCTCGCAGCCAGACCAGCTCCTGTTTTTGATGGCTCCCTCCCTCAGCCGCTGGCAGAGGAAGCTGGAGTGGAGCAGCGCAAACCTGGCCTGGCCCCCCTCCCCTCACAAATACCCTATCTGAAGCCTGTTCCTTCCCTGAACCCTTTCCTCAACAGACGCAAACTGCAAGTCCATACTCCCTTAGCTGCCCTTTTGCCCACCCTTCCACGGGCAGGTGTTCCTCAGGGAAGGGCGTCAGGCTAATTCTGTCTTTCGCCCTCCTAGCACCCTTGCTGGCCTCCAGGAGTCCAGAGCTAAGCACAGAGGGTCAGGTGTTGCTGGTGTGTTTTGGGATGTGGAGCCCAGGACTGCAATCCCACACAAAAATTCTCCAGGCATCCAGTGCCATCTATCTGACCTTGGCTGCTGCTCTCCCCGCGCCCCCCACTCCCACCCACACTGGGCTCTTCTCCCCCACCCAGGGGGCTCAGTGACTTTGGCACTTACGTCTGGGTTCTCGGGGTCCATCCACGGTCACCTTGATGGCTCGGTGGTAGGTGGCCACTTGGGTGGGGTTGGTGAACACGGTGATGGTCAGTGTGAAACTCTTCCCTGGGGGGAGTGGAGAATAAAGGCAGAAGGTTGGCACCTGGAGCGATTAACAATACTCTGTTGTCCCTTCAAGAAGGGGCAGATCTCTTTCCTTTGAACCTGGCAGCAGATGGGGCTCTAGGTGAAGGTCTAGCTGTTGGCCTTGGCATTCAAGGCCTTGGAGGTCTGGCATCATCCTCCCCCACCCCATGCTCTGGGTACCCTGCTATTTCCTCCCTGCTTCCCTGCCTTTGTGCCATTCCTTCCACCCGGAGACCCTCATGATTTTGGAGTGGGGAGCACCCAAGTGTATTTATTAAAAAACGCATAAAAATACAGATTTGGGGGGGCACCTGGGTGGCTCAGTCTGTTAAAAATCTGTCTTTGGCTCAGATCATGATCCGGGGGTCCTGGGTTAGGCTCCCTGCTCAGCGGGGAGTCTGCTTCTCCCTCTCCCTCCGTCTGTCCCCCAACTCCTGCTCATGCTTTCTTGCTTTCCAACAAATAAATAAAATCTTTTAAAAAAATACTATTTTCTTTTCCTGAAAGTAATTATGACTTTATAAAAACTGGGGGGGTCACAGAAAAATCACCTACAGTTCCACTAACCCAGAGATAAACACTGTTAACATTTGGGTGTTTTTGGCTCTAGTCCCTTTTGGGTGGGTATGTATGTTTACAGAGTGGCAAGGATTCCAAAATACGTATATTTATACCCTGGTTGTGTTTTTCTTCATTTAACCTCACATCGTAAGCACTTTCTGGTGTCATTAAAAACCCTTCATAAACTTCATTTTAATGCTGCAAAATACTTCAACCCACAGAAGCCTCGTCTTTTCTTTATCTGCCTCCTTCCTCCCGGGTGCGCGGGCCCTGCAGCCTCCTCCTGGCTGACTCCTGGTTGGGGGTTTGGGGGCTGGGAGAGAGCTGAGTGGGGAGCTGCCGGCATTTCATTTGTAGACGCAACTGTTATTTCCAGAGCTCTGTTCTATTTTTAGATAGACATTTGGCTCCAAAGTCTCCATTCAAAATTCCTGAGAGGAAAAACTTTTAAAATAATAATTTTCTTTTTTTTACCATTTAAAATAAAACGAAAATGACCTTTTGTTTACAAAAAATCTTTGTCTCCATCTCTGCTTATTTCCTCAGGATAGATTCCAAGAAGTGGTGAGTGATTTCGTTGCATCAGAGGGCTGGGATGCATTCAGGGGCATTGATCTCTCCCGTGCACAGACAGAGCCCCGGATTGTCACTGTGACTGTGACCGCAGGGAGCCCCCCACCCCCTACACAGCAGCACAGCCACCTATCACACTTCTGACTTCAGTCTGCCTCTCTGCCGTGCCTAGGGAGACTGAAACTTTTTATCTGCTCATGGTCTGTCCCAAACCCAACACAAATGATCACTTCAGGTTCCTTCATGCTTTCCTCATTCGCGTTTTATTTATTTATTATTAATTAATTAATTAATTTTTTTCCTCATTTGCGTTTTAGTTCCGTTTAGAAATCAGCCTGTGTTAACCGGTTAGCAACCAGCTTCTCAGCTCAGTGGCCTTCACATTCTGCCTTCTGACACTGAGCTGTATGGCATTTTCAGCTCTTTCCCCTGTTGGTGATTTCTCCTAGTGTTTCATGTTCGGGCAGCGCTCCGTTCCCCACCTGAACTGTAACAAGCCAATAAAGGTTTACCTTCAATAAACAGCGTTCTTGCTACCTTCTACCTTTAATTCCTTGATTCTTCTGGGGGTTTAACTGGTGGGTTTGGTAGAAGGTAAAGATAAGGGCAACCCAATTCTCCCATCACCTTCATTGAAGGAGGAGTCGTCCCTCTTTCCGGCCCTCTTCTCTGTCAGCATCGAGTCCCCCACACTGTATGAGACTGGGGAGGCTGGGGTGAGGGCTTCACCCATCTCCTCTAAGCTTGGCCTCCTCCTTCTCTGCCTCCGAGCATCCCCATCTCTGGACCTCAGTTATCAATCAGGGACTCCCTAAGGGTAGGGGCCTGCGGCCCGGTGCACCTGTGTCCACCAGGGCTGGCCCAGGGTGGGCAACTGAGGGAGGCTACCCACAAAGGGACAGCACAGGAGTCCAGTCCCTGCAACTCTCCAAGGCAGGCAGGCAGTCTTGCTACCCCCCTTCACCAGCGGGAGATGAAAACTCAGGGGAGGGAAGGATAGCTTGTGGTTCTCCTTGCCAGGCTGGATCTGGTCATCATGTGAAAACTCGAGCCCCAGAAACAGGAAAATCCAGAATGAAAGTAAACCAGCCAGGCTTCCAGGGCCGCACCACGGAACCCCAGGGGTTCTTCTGAGACACCAAAGAACTGGTGTATAAACGGGGTGGTTTAAATTGAGGCATGATTCAAACTGGGCCAGAGTGGGGCCTTTCTGGAAGAATCTTCCTGAGCCAGCCCACTGAAGGCAGGGATGGAAATGTACAGCCCCTGCCCGTGGAGTCCTGGATCAGAGGAGATCGAACCCCTCACTCTCAGACTACAGGGGCACTTCCCATGGTTTCTGGAAACCAAAGTGTATAAGGTCTAGGGAAATGCTAGGCAGGGCCCACCTCCCCTTCCTGGAATCTGCCTTCCTCCCTCTTTGGTCATTTTTCTCCTGGACTTTTTCCTCCCCCGCCAGACTCCCTATCACTGTGTAGACACTGCAGGGTGCCAACTCAGATGGGCCCCAATTACTTAAGTGCTCCTGTGTCTCCCTCATTTCCCTCAGGTCTCTACTGAAAAGTCACCTCCTCGGTGAAGCCCTCCCTGGCCACTTTATCTAAAGCAGGCATTTTAAACTTGGCATCTGGGGCTCCTTCTTAGGATTAAGTTGGCCCTGTGAACAGGGACAGGAAAGAAAAAGAGAAGGCTGTATTGTCTCTAACCTCTGGCTGCCATTTAGTATCTCCTTCAAGTATAGCCATGGGCAACAAACCACAGAGGTATTACAGAAGTCCCTGTGACCTTGTCACCAACAGACGTCACAGATATTTACATATCACATTACAGACATTGCAAATTTCTCTAAATATCTTTTATGCTCGTCACAACTTCAAAATCATGGTCGTCATCAGACCCATTGCCACATCTTATTATTTAATACACTAATAAAAGAGCACATTTATCCCAATTTTTTTAGACATTTTGCTAACTGTGTTTTATTATAATTGGTTTCCATTGTAATCCTTTGTATTTCATTTTATTCTTTAAAACACATTATTCTGAAACTGTCAAGTTGACCCATGGGGTAAAAAAAAAGGTTAAGAAGCTCAATGTGAAACATCAGGGACCCTCCTGCTCCCTCCCTACTTGCTCAAACTTCCCCCATCATGCTTATTATTTTTGGCAATTCCTCTACTTATTTTCTGTCTCCCTCTACTAGATGGTAAACTCCCTGGGCACCAGAACTTCTGTCTTGTTCACTGCTGTGTCCTAACCCCTAGGACAGCATCTGGCACATAGTAGGTGCTCAAGAAATGTTTGTTAAAATCATTAAGGGAGAGACAACCGTTTCCATTTTACAGATGAGAACACAGACTCACAGAGGGGCAATGAGTCATCCAGGTCAACAGTATCTAGGCAGGACCAGAAAGGTTAGAATGTGCTGGAGTCGCCCGCCACCCCCTTGGCCCCCCCGCCCCAGCCCCATACTAAGGACCTGCTCCTGGGCAGTGAGAGGCCTCCACTCTCACCAGGCAGCAAACCACAAACTACCCCTGAGGTCATCAGCCCTCCCCCACAGCCTCCTCCTGCTTTCCAGGCCTGGCACCACCCCTCCCCGGTGCCCAAAGAGAGGGAGGGAGGAGGACAAAAGGCAGGGGCTGGGACCTGGGAACAAGAGTGGAAGGGAGGGGTGTATATCAGGTACCATGAGAAGCAGGGGTCTCCAGAACGAGTTGGGGGGAAGCTGTCTTCCTGAGAGCCCCTCAGCTCTCTCTCTCTGCCTGCTGGTGAACGCCTCCTCCCACCTCACCCCGTCTCAGGGCAGGAAGCTGCGATAACAGAGAAGGTAGAGGACTTCGTGCAGGAACCTCAGGCAGACCTGCCATCAGCCAGAAGTCCAGGAACTGCTAACCAAGGCACTCCAGGGACTGGCCCTGGCCAGAGGGGAGAAGTCCCAGTCTGGAAACAACTACCCCTCGGGGACCTGGGTGACTCCAGACAAGCTCATGGGACCCTGGACCAATCAGCACCTACAACCGGGTCTGGCAGTGTGGCTCTGGGCCAGTCCCTGTTCCCCTCAGCCCGGGTTCTCATGTCATAAAACCCCATCATGGGGGCCTCAAGGACAGCAGGAACACATCTCAGGGGACCTCTGGGTTTTCTGGACGTTGGTCAAGAAACCTATAAGCCACACCCACACATCTCTCCTCAAATCTCGCTCTACCTACTAGGATTTCTTTTCAAACAGCTAATGACTGTTCAGGAGCTCCCGCTGTTTTCATTTTCACCTAGGCTGCCTCCTAGAAGACATTTTGGGAATTTGTGGCCTGTGGTCCTCCAGAGGGGTGTAGGGGGTGTGGGGGGGGGTGGAGAGGAGCGGAGGAGGCTTCGGTCCAGCTGGGTACAGGGCACCCAGGCAGTCATTCCTCCTGTGTGTGAAACACTTGTTACAAAGATACTCTGAGCCATGAGCCTAACTCAGTTTTACATAACATAAAACCAAGTTTTTTGCACACTTTTAGTATCTGTTGAATTTTCCAGGATGGAATACCGTTTTTTTTTTTCCCCCTGAAATTTTGTTCAGAACTTTGCCAAGCATTGTTCGCCCCTTCAGAAAACCATGTCGTCGACGGCAGTGGACTCTTGAGTCCTGCACGCCCGGGCTGGTGGTCTGCCGCGGTGCTCCCGGGGCTTCTGCCGGCTGGCCAAGCTCCCACTCACCACAGGGCGATCTCACCCCACATTTATATACCCAGATGGATATTTTATCATAAATAACTTTCTTTTTTTTTTTCTCCATGAAAGCTATGAACTTCTATGGATTTTGAAACTGCACATAAGTAGGTAGGTTCTATTAGTTACACATTTCATTGTAGGACAATGAAAAGTGTGTTATATAGTATTTGTTGTAAGAAGGGTGGGAACCTCGGCCCTAATCACTGCAGGACACACCAGTGACTTGGTTTCTTTCCCTCCCTTGTTTCTTTCCCATCTTCAGGCTTATCATGAGGGCTCTGTGGTGGTGGTGTCTATGTCCTCCATGGAAACCTATCTTCCTGGAATTGAGACAGCATCAAGGAATAAAAGGCAAGGAAACAAACAGAAGTTTCCATCTGGTTTCTTGATCTTGGCAGAAGTCAGAGGGCCAGGGAATGGTTCCGGGTCCCAAACTCCAATCTGTCTCAACTCTCGAAGTGCCCCACTGTCCGGGTCAATCACTGATTTGTCCTCTCGGTGGGAATTTCCCAATGGGCAGCAGGGGCACAGCGGACGGGCTGCTGCAGGCCAGAGGACCCCTGTGCCCTCCTCACTGCCAGCCGCCTCCACTTCTCCCACTCCACAATTCACACCTTCTGGGTTTCCCCCGCCCCCGCCCAAACCGCACCATAATCACAGAATCAGTGACTATACCACTCAAAGGGACTTCTAAGATCTCCAGTCACAGGCATTCGATGTAACAAAATCTGTAACCCATGTCGAACTCTCAATGCGTGCCAAGTGATACACCAGGGCTGATTTCCTTAATCCTTGTAAAACCTCGGGAGAGAGGGGTCCTTATTGTCCCCTTATACAGCTGGGGAAACTGAGGCACAGACAGGTTAAACCATTTGCCCCATGTCATCCAGCAAGTCACTGGCGGAGTTAGGAATGAAACCAGCTGGGCTGGTTGTCGAGTCCACGTTGTTCAATACCATGAGACTCTGAGGTCTGAGAGTCTGGTCAAGTCCCCAGGTACTGGAACTCCCGCTCAGGCCCCTTCCTGCCCCCGCCCAGGACCAGGGAGACTGATGGGAGAAGGGCTGTGAGAATGATTTATAAACTCGGCCTCCTGCGTCCTCCAGAGCCACAACCCCAGCCTCAGCCTCGCCTGCTTCAAGCGCACCAGCTAAAGAGTGATTTGCAAACCCACTTCTCTCCCCCAAAGTCCTGCAGGGTGAGTGCAGGTCCGTGGGCATAAATGCCACGAAGAAATCACTTTATGCAGCAAAAAGGCCAGCCAGCCAGCCAGCCATGCCCTTGGTCACTTGGGATCACCGTGTCTTCTCTTTCTCAATCTCACCTCCCAGGACAGGGAATAAGGTTCCATGTTCCTGATGCTTTGCTGGGTTCCTGGGATGGACCTCCCCTTCTGCCTGCTCTTTCAGGGGCTGCAGCTACGGCGGGCCGGCTGCATATCTTCATGCCACGTGGCCTGCACACCTGGCCACCGCCCCAAATTCAAGCTGCATCCCTGCCAGCCACCAACCGGTGGCCAATAACTCTCCACACAGGGTTGCAGCTGGGATTAAGTTGCAAAAGGCTGGAGAGATTGGGGATGACAAAAGGGGCTTGGAGACTAATTAGGAGCAGCAATGAAAGCTTAATTCATAAAAGCAAACATTTTCCATCCATCAACCTGCAACCAGTTAAGGGCAACGTTTGAAAGAAATCTGTGCGTGGGGAAGGGAGCCAACAGGAACAGGAAATGTTTGAAAGAATGTAAACTATTTCAGTTTCATAAAAAGTAACAAGTAAACAGTTATTACATGCAAATAATGCCCTGGTTTTAATTAATGCTGAAAAGCCAAAATATGTTTGACATTTGTATGTATACATTGAACGGCTGGAGAGGAAAAAATGGTGCCCAGATGCCCATTGCTGAGCAGGGCTGTCGGCTGGGAGCAAACGAAAACCTTGAGAAGGTCTTGTTTATTGGTGATGAAAAGTACAATTCTGCCTCAGCCTCTGTGGAGACTGCGGGCAGAGGGAGCCTATCGTACTTTCTTAACCCAACTGGAGGGGCAGGCTGGGTCTTGCGACTGGCACTTTTCAGCAGGCTGGTCTTAAAGGGCCAGCGAGTCCTTGAGCCTCCATTTCGCTGGGGCAGGGTTTCTAGGGCTTCACCACCCAGAAGTGATGATGGGTTTCAGGTCCCAGCAGCCTCCCACCCGAGAGCCCTGGGGCGGGAGCCACAGCAAGCGGGCTGGTCCTGCCTTCCTTCCTATTGTCAGAGGCCAATCACACAGGCTGGGGGGCACACGGGCTTCAGCTTCGATTCTGGGCAGGGTGGGGGGGGGGTGGCAGCCTGCAGGCTTTCCTGCTTTGCTTTCCCGCATTGCATTCGTGTCTCTCCTAAACCACCTTAAGGCTCACAGGGCTGGGGAAACTGTGGCTTGAGGAGACCACAGCTGGGGAGAGGCAGCCTCAGCTTGCTCAAAGCTTGAAGCTTGGGGAGATCCCAGCCCCGTGGGGAGAGTGGCTGGGGTGCTTGGGCCCCCCCGCAGACCAGCCATTCATCTAAGCCCGCTGCTAAGCCCACTTGCCACAGAAGACCTACGAGGTCCCCTTTTGAGCTCCTTAATCCGTGATCTCTTCCTAGTGTCTTTTATGAAGCCAGAACACTCAACCACCGGGAAAGGGGGTAACACGGACAGCTACATGAGTTAGTAAACCCCAGAAGCTGGAAGCCAATTGTGTCTTTTTCTGGCCAAGGACCCGCATCCTCAAAGGGTTTTGTGACACTCCCATGGGGCTCCAAACCGCTGTCTGAGACCAAGCCGGGCCTGGGCACTTGTTTCTGGGGCTCTCATTTGGGACCCCAAGGGCTTGCTCTCAGCTTCCTTCCTAGACCTCTGCCATTGCTGGTGTCAGGGTACGCAGACTCCCTGCAGCTCACCTCGCCCACTGCGGCCCACGAAGCGAAGGTCGTTGAACCTGGCCACCTGGTTCTTCATGACCGCCGAGGCATTACGCAACTCCGCAGAGTAATTCTCATCATTGCCAGCCATCACGGTCACCACTGTTCCGTCGGGCACGTCCCCCAGCGCCACCACCTGAAGGCACAGGGGCAGGGGGACAGCTTAGGAGAGGCGGGGAGGGGCCAGGCAGCTCCCCTAGGTCCCAGGCACACTGCAGGATTTCTCAAAGGCAGAGCGGAGAAAAGGCGAAACCCCAACGGACACCTTCCCCCCCAAAAAAACAAAAACAAGAAGCCGAAATCTCCACCTTCCACACCCAAATCCTAGCTCAACTGGTTAAGTCATGTCCTAAGAAATTATCCTTGCAATGAAATCAGTGAATGAGCTCGATCACTATGGCGTGGGGTGTAGTTCCCCTCTTTCCTTGGGCCTGAGCAAAAGAGGAATCAACGTGCTCCTAGCAACCACGTCCCTAAATAAAAATAATATCAACAACAATAATAACAGGACGGCTCCCCACGCTGAATTAAAGCTAGAGCCATTTGGGGTATAAAATTCGGCCCTGAAATGTGGCCCGGGCCCAGTCTGCCGGCCTCTGCCGAGACTGAATTCGTTATGCAGGGAAAATGCAAAATGCAAAACAAACCGGTGTTTTGAGAGGGGTTGTACAGAAAACCCATTTAAAGTGAGAGAGGGGCTTTCAATAGGAGAATGCACCTGCTGGGAACTGCACCATGGGGGAGGAGATGCCCCCCTAATATGGTCTCCCCCACCCGCCACCCCAAGCAGCGGGCAGAGGCAGATGCCTTTTGAAAAGGAATCATGCTGCAAATGTAGTCACAGCCATTTAAACGTGGCCACCGTGTGCAGGGACTAGGGATCCAGATGGTAAAAATTTCAAGGAGAAAATGTTTGGGGTCTGATTAAAAAGGCCAGATTTCCTGTCAACATCCTGTCTTCTTTTAATTTCAAAGATTCCTTTTAAGCTCCAAGTGACAGTAAAACCTCCGATCTGAGGATTAAAGTCACACGGGCCTCCCCCTCCCCCTCCTCCCCGGGAGATTTTCCCCACTGGCATTTTAAGATGTCACCGAGGAGACCTCCAAGAGCCACTCATCCTTTTTTTTTTTTCTTTCCAATTTGGAGTCGTCTTAATGGGAGCAAGGATGGCCTCAGCTGCCAGGAGCCGCTGTTTCCAGCCACCTCGGGCACCCGCCACCCCCAGCCGCTGGCCCTTCCTGCCCTGCCCTTTCTCACGGCAGCTGTGAGAGGTTTAGGGGAAAACCAAGGCGTTTTCGTTTCATCTCGCTGCCCCCTTAAAAAAATGAAAATGAAACAGTCGCCTACTCCCTAGCAAAGAGAAAAAGATCCTCTGAATGACTGGGGGCTGCCAGGGGTGGGAGCGCCCCCCCCATTTCTGCTCGGCGTTCGGGATTCCTGCCGCAAACGTTTAGGGTTCGGTGCCCCCCTTCTCAGTCCTAGAGTCGCCCGGTGTAAAATTTCAGAAGCCAGAGGTGGAGGGTGTGAGCAGGAAGTGTTTCTGAAGCGGTGCAGGAGGAGGGGTGCTGGCAGGGGAGGTTAGGCCCTATCCACCCTCCGCACCCCACCTCCGGGGCCTCGCCCTGGTCCCGGGGCTCTTCTTCCCCTTTGCCCGCAAGGCTGTGTCGGAGGGATCCCGACTGGGGAGGAGCGAAGCCCCATCCGCCCGTTGCCTCATCAGCGTCTTTCAGCCGGGCTCCCCGAAGGTGGAGGGGGCAACCCCCGACCCCCGCCCCGAAAAGCCATCCATGCCGGGTGCATCTGAGGGGGAACGCCGAAGTCCCCTGGCGGAGCGCGCAGGGAGACCGAAAGCGCTCTGGGCCCAGCCGCTGGGTTCTCGCGGCGAGGCAGCGGGCACGTTCCCCTACGTTCCCCTGCCTTCCCCGGCCGGGGCCCCGGGGTCCTGCGGCTGAGACGCCCGGATCGCCAGGGCCGGCGTCCGCCCGCCCCGGGCCCCGCACTCACCTTGAACGCGACGGGCAGCGTCTTGTTGCAGCGCCAGTGCGAGGGCAGCACGGAGCAGAGGAAGTTGGGGCTGTCGGTGCGCACGAGCTCGCCCGCGTGGTCCGCCAGCACGTCCACCATCGAGCGCACCTCCGGCCGGGCGCGCCCGCCGGGCCCCACCGCCGCCTGCGCGCTCAGCGCGCCGCTGTTCTCGCCCATCTTGCCGCCGCCGCTGCCGCCGCCGCCGCCGCCGCCGCCGCCGCAGGGGAAGGCCGTGGAGGGAGGTGTGAAGCGGCGGCTGGTGCTCGGGTCTACAGGAATACGCATAACAGCGGCCGTCAGGGCGCCGGGCGGGCGGCGGCGGCGCGGCTCCCCCGGGGGCGGCCGGCGCGGGCGCCTCCTCGGCCGCCTCTGCCGCGAGAAGCGGGAAAGCAGAAGCAGCCGGGCCGCGGCCTCAGGGCGCAGGGGGCGGCGCCCGGGGACGCCCCGCCGGGGGCCCGCCCGCAGAGAGAGGCCTCGCAGCCCCGACGGCCGCGCGCAGCCCTGCCCGCTAGTCCCGCATCCTGGGCTCGCGGCCCGGCTTGCGGCCGCCCCTCGCGCCGGGACGTCTGCCTCGGCCGCCGCGGGGCCCGCGCGGGCTGTGCCGCCGCCGCCTCCCGCCCCCGCAGCCCGCTCTCGCGGCCGCCCCACCGACTGCGCGGCCGCAGCCCCAGAACAAATCCTCGAGAATTGAGTGGCGACGCCGGGCCGACCCGCGCGGGGTTAGTAACCGGGGGCCCGCGGGGGCGGGGCCGGCCCGAGCGACGCGTCGCGCAGCCAATCGGAGCCCCATCGCCGGCACCTCGGCAGCGCTCGTGGGGGAGGAACGGGGACCGCCGAAGGCCGCCCAGCGGGGAGGGGCGGAAGGCCCCGCCCCGGGGAGGACGCCCGGGTCGGGGGGCCCGGCGCGTTAGCCCAGAGCTCCTCGAAAGTTCGGGGGCCCCGGGGTTAATGCTAAAAATTTGGTTAAAACGCCCGGGCCCTCCAGAGGGCTCCTGGGCGGCTGCCTCCTGGGCGGCGGCTCCCTGACTCGGGGGCCGCAGCTTCCCTTCTCGCGCCCTTTCCCCGCTGCCGGTAGCTGGGCCTTCCCGGCTCCGGCTGCTTTCGGCCTCTGATGCCTGTACTCTCTGCTGCGGGACGTGGGGGCTCCAAGGCCGGTGACATCGAGCGGGGAGCCGACCCCAAGCGGTTTTTCACCCCGCGCCCGGCGTCCCCCGCAGTCCCGCAAATTATCTCGGCCCAAGGGCTTCCACCGCACACGAGATTCCACGACCACCAGCCGCCTCTGCAGCTCCCAGCGCAGCGCGGCTTTGGGCCCGGCCTCGTTGGCCCGGTTGCCGACCAGGGACAGACGGGTGTCCTGGCGGGGGGTGGCGGGGGGGCTGGAATCTGGCTTGGCGGTGACAAACCCCGTTCCTCTCCGCTCCCCCAAAGCAACTTTCAGGACCGCGCAGGCCTCGCTTCGTCGTCCTTCGTTGTGGCGGCCCGTGATTCTTTGAAAAACACGACGGAGCCTGGAAAACGCGAGTGTTCCCCCCCTGATTTTTGCCCCGTGCATATAGCCACGGTCTCGCATCGCGCAAGAAGACGCGAGTCCACGGCAGGAAGACAAGCGTGCGGAGAACGAGGGGATGGCTGCCAAGCCAAGGGCCCCAGCTTCCAGAGGAGGCAATCTTCTTCCTCCGCGTGGATGCGCACCGGCCCCCCGAGGGCCCGCGCCTCCGTCTTACCGGGCTGTGTGCTCCGGCCGCGCCACAGGGACGCAGACCGCTTTCCCTCCCGCCCGCGCGGCCCATCGACTCCTGTGGCTTCACGGCAGGCAACCCTGGCCTCTCCCGCCTCGTAGGCCAAACGAGCGGGCCTAAGGACAAGCTACAGCGGGGAGGGGAACTGCAAAGATCAAGCCCCCATTCATTTTGGATTATCGCCCCAGAGGTGCTCCCTCGTGTGTAGGGAACCGACGAAGGCGTACCGAGTCTCTGCCGTCTGGAGACTGGGCTGAGTATTCGTTGTTCTCGGCGCTTGACAGGTGCAGTGCAACAAATTCCAAACCTCGGAAGCGAAGAAGGATAGAATTCGAAAGTGGCCGCCAGATCGCGGCCGGGATCTGACCCCGGCCCAGTGCGCGCCGTTTCGTCGTTGCGGAACGAATTCAAGACCCGTGTGCGCTTCAGGGCGGAGAGGTTCCCGCGCAACCTCGACCACCTGGAGAGCTGGTCCCTGACCCTGTTGTCGCCTCACGTCAGCCCCTCGGGCCATTTCGAAGGCGGGGACAGCGAAGGACCCTACGGGATCTATTTAGAGAGCCTGCATCTCGGAGTTGCAGATCGCCGGGGCCAAGGCCCTTGCACTCTCCCAAACGGGGGTGCAGTAGCGGCGGAACCAGAAGAAAACGAGGTACCGGGGCCTTGGCGCGTTGGACCTCTGGGAGCTTCCCGCCAAAAGGCCCACCAAGTTGTGGCCAGGTACGGCCCAGGGCCGGGGGGGGGGGGGGGGGGGAAGCGACGCGTGTGGCCCTGGAGCGGCTGTGGGGCCAGGACCCGCTGTATCAGGGGTTTGTAAATTCGATTCATCTAGTGGTTTCAGTTTGCACCCGTGCCCTTACTTGCCCCTCCGCCTGATTTCTCCCTCATCCTACGGCGGGTTCACAAACGGACATCCTGAAAATGCGGTTCCTGTGGGTCTCGGCACCTGGCACAGGATCCGGCGTGGCTCCAGCCCTCGGGAGGGTACTCACTGCGTGTGGGCGTGTGGGCGTGTGGGCGTGTGGGCGCGGGAACCCGGGGACGCTTGGGGCTCCAGACTGCGGTCGCCCGGGCCCGCCGGGCGGGGAGCAGTTTCGGGAGCCACCGCTAGTTGGCGCCTGCACTCTGCCCGCCGCGGAGTTGCCCGGCCAGGCCCTGCCCACAGATGTGTGCCAGCTTCGGTCGCGTGTCCAGGAGCAAGGGCCCGCCTCCTAGGAACTATGCTTTCTGGGCTGACGTTCTGGACAATTCCTCACCATCTATGCGGCCAGAATAAACCTATAGCTTTGTGTCAGACCAAAGGCTGCCCTACCTGCCCTGATGGACACGGATGCTTCTCTGGCACCCCACGGTCCCTGTGGCACTGGACCCACAGAGCGTTCTCCCCGTCAGAAATGCACAGTCCTCTCTCTCCTGCCCCGTCCTGAGGGGCCGGAGGAGGACACACAGAAGAACAGGCCAGCCCATTCCCAATTTCTACCAATGGCTAACTTACATCCTCCCCATCCCTGACCAACAGACCTAGGGCCACCTCTCTGTTTTTCTTTTTACCATTTCGAGAGACAGTTGGACAGCTCCCACTCCCTTACATGGGACACGTGGATACCCTCTTCCTTCCCGTTTTCTATGGCTAGACACATCCTTTCCCTCTTCCAGTGGACTGGTGCACCAATCTCCCACTTTCTCTTGAATGGCTCCCAGCTAAGAGCAGCTCAAATTGTCCACAGCAGCGTGAGGAAGTCAGGAGGTCTGGGCGTACTTTGGCGCAGAGTTGGGTAAGCAGGGACCCAAACTGGGGCCCACAGATCTCAGGACCTGGGGGCCACTCCTCCCACCAGCATCCTTTGCCCCTGGGAGTGAGATCATGGCCTCAAAACGACCCTGCATCAGGGCGCCTTCCTCTGGCTGCCTGTGACCCCTAGGGGTGCACTCTAAAAGCATTGGTGGTAGCAGGGTGCCTGCATATGTCTCCCCACAGGCCAGAGAGCTTACAAGGGCAGGTCTGATTCGTCAAGAATCTGGTGCCTGGGATGGGGTGAGGATCCCCCAAGTGTGCCAGACACAGGACATATGTGACATGGAAAACCTTCTAGGAAGTTCACTGGTTGTGGAAGGGGCCTGGGATCTGCAGTTCCACTACCTGTTTTCTTTTTTCCACCACCTACTGTGAGCTAGGGGACATTGCTTAAAACCTCTCTGGCTCTTGTTGATTTCATCTGTAAAGTAGGGCTAAGGTTTGTGGCCTCCTCACAGAAATGTGTGTAAGGTGCTTAGCACCCCCTGGCATACAGGGGGTGCTCCATCCATGCGAGCTATTGCTGCTGTCACACTGAAAAATTAAGGCCTGGGCACCCCTCATTGGGGGCCCTTGGCAAGTCTCTTCCGATTTGTGGGCCTCACACTTGCCATCTGTGAAATATTCAAGTCTCAGGTTCAAAGCTTGCCAGGACTTGGAGCCTAGTCCATGGCTATCCTGCCCCACCTTGGTTCACCTAGGGGCTGCCTGGGAGAGGTCAGGACTGTCTGTGACCTGCCTCCAGGCAGAGCCAGCTTGCAGGAGGGTTTTCCAGCTACCATCACAGGGCTGCCTGAGCCTGGATCTTAAGAAGACTCAACTTCTTTCCGCTAGGCTCTTAGACCCTCACTCTGGAAACCCACTGACCCCCACCCCCTATCCCCCTACAGGCATACACTCTCTTGACTAGGAACTGGGCCTCAGCTGACACCATTAGCCACCACCCCATCCCCAAGGAGGTTCGTGTTCCCTCCATCCCAAGTCTCATGGGAGCCCCAGTCCAGTTACTAGCAGAGGACTGTCTTCTAGAAGTTAATGATTTCTTCCAGTCTGGCCTCCACACCCTCAGTCTGGTGAAGCCCTCCTGCGCCCAGTGGCTTGGAACTTAAGGTGGGACGTTTCTGTCCCTCCGTGGAGCCTCAGTTTCCCCTTCCGTGAATGGAGGTGGTTCTGATGGCTCTGTTTCACAATCCAGATGATTAAAGACTCCCTCCAGGAGGGCAGGAACATTGTGTTTCCCCACATCTAATGCCATCAATCATTCCATGGGAAAGTAAATACTGCTAGTCAAACCTAGACTTGCTTGCATCCCGATTTCAAGTATGTAAGTCTATACATACGTATTATCACACACACACACACGCACACAAATTAGTGAGAAAAGGTCATGAAGAACAACATTAATATGGTCAAGGGGTTGTTGTTGGCAGGGTTGGGGGCCCTTACCCCAAAGAACTCCTTCGGGCAGCCTCTCTGGAAGGCTTCTGAAAGTGCAGAAGGACAAGTGTGCTTCTCAAATTACAGGGTGGCTCTTTTTTTTTCCCCTCTTTTTCTTTTTCTTTCTTTCTTTCTTTTCTTTCTTTTCTCTCTCTCTCTCTCTCTTTTTTTTTTTTTTTTTTTGGAAAGGACCAGACTGTGAAGGGAGGGAGGGGGAGCTGGAGAGAGCCCTGTGGTTAAGGACACAGCTACTGGCTCTGCCACTGCCTGTGGCACTTCTGCACCTCCCTGAGCCTCTGTCCCCTGGCGGGGGAAAGGGGAAGAACAGCTACAGCGAGGACTGCTGAAGTGTTCCAGTGCCCAGGCCCCGTGTTCTGGCTTTAGTACACTCTTTCATTTCACCGCGGCAATTGTGGGGTAGGCCTTATGCCCATTGAAACAAAGAGAAATGTTGCTCAATATTTTCTGGGTTCGGGAGAACCAGAGTGGGGTTAAAAGGCTGATCTGATGCAAAATTTAGGGATCAGAGGCACCACCCGATTGTGCACCCCTGCACTGGTTGAACAAAATATTGGGGAGAACTGTTGTCTAGATATTGAAAGTGCTTAATAAACGTTCGCGATCACGATGGTGGTGGAGCCAGGTGGAGGGAGGGGGTGCGCAATAGACACAGTGAAATAGCTATCAGTGTGGAAATTAGCAGACCCTTCCAGCCCAGACTGGGAAGCAGAAAGGGGCTGCATGGGTCATCTGCGGAGGCTTACCTGCCTCATGCTCACCTCCGGCCTCAGAACCTACCTGTGAGGAGGTAGACTCGGCTGTGGTCCCTAGTATACAGATGGGCACACTGAGGCCAAGAAAGTGGGAGAGGCTTGACCAGTTTCGCTAAGGAAGAGCTCTAAGGGAGCTCTAAGGGACTAAGCCCTCGCAAGGCCAGTGGACTACATGGCGCAACCAAAAGCACGGTGAGCTGACAGCCACCCACAGCCTCCACCCACCCTGCCTCAGCCCGCAGGTGGGCTGGGCCAGGACCCACCTGATGGTGCCTCACAGCCAGATGGGACCTTGAGCACCCATTTCTCTGGGGAGATGCCAGAGTCTGTGTGTCTCCCTCAGGTCCTCAGCATCCCTATCAGAACAGCGAGAGTGAGCTTCCATGGTCCCTAAAAGCACCCAGCTGGCTTCCTGTGGACCCCCAGGTAAGTTTTACTGTGACTTTGGGGCCAAGCCCATGGGGCCCCTTTCCCCACCTCCCACCTCCTCAGGTGGCACTGGGTCCCTGTTTTGTGCAGCCCTGGACCTCTACTCCAACTCACCTGTAGAGCCTCCTGAGAGGGCACTCAGCTTGGGGAATTAGAGAGACAGGAGGGAAGGATGGAGAGAGGTGGTCTCATCGTGGGCCTAGCCAGGGGAGAGGAGGCAGGCCCCATAGTAGCCAGGGAAGTGGACTCTGGTTGTCCATTTGTCCTCCCTGTTCCTCCCTTTCATCATTTATGAAACAGGGAAATAATTCTGGTAGAGCCCTTTGGTTTATGACTAATAATTACCCTAATTAGTTGGAGTCCTGTCGTATGCTGGGACTTTTATTTTAATTATTGTTAATGCTCTTGGAGCTTCTGCAGGATATTTAATTCTCTCCATTTTACAGATGGAGAAATTGAGGCTCAGAGAGTGAAGAGCTTCCCCACTCTGGGCCTCAGAACTGGAGGGCCTTAATTTCAACAGGATTCCTTGATCCAGACTCTGTCTCTGCTCTGCTGGCTGGTCAGAGTACCTTAACCTCTCTCTCTCTACGTCAATGGGGGGCAGGGTTGCAGAGCGCTCTGCTGGCAGAGTCCTCAAATCTGGGGATTTTTCGTTGGGAGGGACAGAGGCTGGTGAGAGGGCCCTGGGTAGCTCGAAGCCCAGGAGAGTTCTGGAAAGGGCAGAATTTCCCAGGCCCAGGAAGGGGCTTTAGCTCTGGCAGGGAGGGAAAGAGCTCCTCTGAGTGGCTGGCGCTTCTCACACTTCCTATTGTGGAGGAAAGACAGGAGGATTTTCAGGTTCAAAACATCTCCAAGCCTTAATCAGATGGTAAGAATAGCTTCCAGTCAGAAACCAATGTTTGGAACTGAATTGGAACCATGGGATTAGAATCTTGAGCTCTATTAATCGTTACTGACAACAGTGAAGCTTCCAGCATGCTGGCCCTAATCCCACACTCTGTGCTCATTTGTGCCTCACAGGACCCTTATTGGGGAGGTCCAGCATCCCCCCCCCCCGATCAAAATCCTATAGGTGAAGATGTAAACTTGCCCAAGGTCACACAGCTGAGCATCTGTGGAGCCGGGATTCCAACCAGGCAGCCTGGCCCCACGGTCTGTTCTCATGGACCAGAATCAGATGCTTGAAGTTCTAGTCATGGAAGAGAATTAGAATCCTGGCATGAGAATTGTGGGCAGGATTCAGAATTTTAAAATGGGCTCTGAGATACCATATCCAAAATCTCCCATTTGTCAAGCGGAAGAACTGAGGGCCAGGGAGGGAAAGGGTCTCCTTCAAAGTCACCGCCTAGGCCAGGGGCAGAGTCTGGAACCCCCTCCTGCCCCCTCCCGGGACTCTGGTCCAGGATGCCTTTCTCTCTGTGGCAGGCCCTCCTCACCCCACCGCCCACCCAGTGGCTCCCCAGCCCAGCCAGTCCCATTAGGGATTTTCCACCCCCCCCAAAAAAGGTCCTAATGACTGTCAGTCCTTGTGAAGCCTTAATTAATCTCAGAGGCTGATGGCTCTGAGGAGACCGGGGGCTTTGGCCTTACGCAGATGAAGATTACGGCTCCATTTCATGTGGTGGTGAAGGAACGCCTCAGACATTCCTGCCAGCAATAAAAGCCACATGGCTTTCCAGCGTCGCCCTTGGAAAAGAAAAAAAGCGCAGCCCTTTGCGGAAAGAAATCAACTATGTGCTGTATGCATGGCATGAGATAAAAACGGGGCATAACGAGGTGGAGAACAGTCAGTCTCTTATGCTGCTTCCCGAGGCCACCGAGAGTGGCAGGGCCCAGCGGTCGAGAGCCCAGCAGCAGCCCCGGGGAGGGGCAGTGGGAGCCACGGTGGAAGGGCCTCTGCCCCTGCACCTGAGCCGGCCTTCAGATGCCCTCCATGCCCCACTGGCCGGGCTGGCCCCCGGGGCCAGTGAGCCCAGCAGTGACGCAGCATCCTACTTGCAGAGGGTCCCGTGCCCGCCCCCCTGCTCTGCCGTCACTGCCTCGAAGTCCTTCAGACTCTTTGAACCAAGGGTCAGTGTTTTCATCCTGCCGCCGAGCATCCCTAGATTAGGTAAGCGGTCCCGGCCCACAAGTCACCCCGTCAGCTGACGGCGACATCTTCCAGGCCTGGGGAGTCATGTTCTTTTGAGCACCTACTTTGCCGACATCATCTGAGACGAACTCCGGAACAATCGTATGGCTTGTGCAGATGGAGCGGCCGAGGCTCCGAGAGGCTTCCACGTGGCAAGGAAGCTGGATGTGGAGTCGGGTCCCTCTCCCTCCAAAGCAAGCGTCTTAACCACTCCACATGCTGCAATACTTCATCTTCACCATGCTCCATGGGGGCGGCGATGGGCAGGGTCAAGCTTTTTTTTTTTTTTTTTTCCAAATAACAGAAGGGATAACAGAGGCCAGAGAGGTGAGGTTGCTCAGGGGCATGTCCAGTGGCTAGTAGAGCATTCAGTACCAGGCTGCATGGTAGGGATGGGGGCCTGCATCCAGATGGCTGGGGTGGGGGTAGGGGGGTGTCCCGGTTTTAGAGTTGTTTGTTCTGCTCCTAAATGTGCTAACTCTCTGTGTGGGTCACTGTCTTCAGTCTGGCTGGGATGTAGCAGGAGTCCTGACCTCCCCCACCCCTCGCCAGTGCTGGGTTCTAAACACCTGGAAGTTCTTCTTTGTGGCTTCCTGCACTCTTTCATGCCCTGGTTTCCCTCTGCCACCCTCCCTGGTTGGGGAAGCAGTTGCACCCTGTGTCTTGATCAACTTAAAGCAGTCCCAGTTCTCAGTGAATCCTAGAAAACTGTGGATGAAGGGATCCTAAAGATGGTCATGACCTATAACATGGGCTAGGCCCAAGGCTCATGGACCTGGCTGCTGGCTCCAGGACAGCCGTCCCCTTATTTCTTGGTGGGTGACCCTGGACAAGTCCCTTCCCTCTCTGGGCATCAGACACCTCATCAGGGAGCTAAATGCCTTGGTCCACACTTGATCCTCAGGAGGACTGTCCATCTTCAGTGTTCTAGAATTCCATGTTAATCCAGGACAGTTCTGGAGCTACTGAGGTCCAGGAGAGGTCAGAGGCATGCTCAGGGTCATGTAGGAGGCTCACTGGCTGCTGGACTTGACTCTGAGGTCCCTGTGCTGGCCCAGCTCTGCCTTACACAAGACTTTGGAAGGCCCAGCCTTGGTCTTGTCCCCCCTCTCCTGCTCCCCAGTCCACCTCAGCCTGTCAGGTGCTGTAAGGGTCCAGGTCTGGAAGCCACAGCTAAGTGGCTTCTGTTTTTTTATTTATTCTGGGTGTCTGTTTTATTTTTTGTGCTTTAAACATATTTATGTTTTATATACTCTTCTGTTACTATATTTTACAATAAAATATTTAGAAAGAAAGGCAAAGGGAGGAAAATAGAAAAAGACATACCCCTGACCCAAAGCTCTAAAGAAATGGACAAAAATGCTTACATTTTTATACAGTTGCAAAACTGCCTATAGTGTGTCAAAACTGGGGAGTGTTTGTTCTCGACCAGATCACTGTTTCAACCAGATTGTCCTGTCTACAAACTCAATCTCAGCCGAATGATCTGGTGGTCTCTGAAGCCATCCTCCTCATGGCAACACCTCCATATAGGGCATTGCTGGGCGCTCAGCCCCCACTGAGCATGCTCCCTACTGAGCTTCTTAAATCTTACCAGTTGTCCTCCAGATCCGGGTCATTGGGCTTCCTCTATGGAACTAAACGGAACTAAATGTCACTGAGGAACTGAATGTCACTGAGGAAGCCTGCTGGACCTAGCCAGGAAGGGGCAGAGCTGGGGTTTGACCCAAGCTTCATAGATGCTGCAATTGTGCTTTGCTCACCCCAGGAGCTTCATCCCATGGCCCAGGCCCCTCAGTTACAATAATGAATGCTATCTACACTTTACAGGTATTATTTTGTTTAATTCTCATGGCCACCTTATGGGTTGAGCCCCCTGTCAACATCCCCATGATAACACTGAAAAACCAGGGCCCAGGAAGCTTGTAACTTGCTCCAGTTCACCCAACAGGTAAACGTGGGAGCTGAACTTGGTAGCCTGGCAGCCTGAGCTGCCTGGCTTGGCTGCATGGGGAGCGCAGACACCATGGAAGACAGAGCAGTGGCCCAGGGTCCACAGGTGACCCCGAGAGACCAAAGGCCAGCAGGGCTGGGTGGCTGGGATGGGGGTGTCCAGCAAGGGAGATCTGCTCCTGGAGTGATGTCAGCCTACCTACCCCTCCTTGCCTACCAGGACCATGGCTCTCAGGGAGGGGCTCAGGATGTGGGCAGAGCCGAATAGTGACCTGAGCAGGCCCATTAATCCCTGCCTGGCATGTCTAGGCCATAGGCTCAGACTCGGGGCACTCTTTGTCACTGTCTGTTGGCCTGCATTTGTCACGGGCAAGGATGTGATGTTTAGCACCTGTGTGTCTCTGACTGTACCTGAGGGGGCTTCTGGAAGGGAATCCTAGAAGGTGCTCAGACCTAGGGTGGGGGCTGGGCCTTCTAACTGCCCCATCTTTGAGGCTCAGTCAAATCAGGGCTGGCCTTGATGATGTGACATTCCTTCAGCTCCCAGAGGCCCGGCCCCATCCCTAGGGGCGCAAGTGGAAATGTTCCCAGGCCTGTCCTCGGGGAGCCCTGCACCCGATGCAGGGAGCTAGGACGGACAGGAAGAGGAGAAATGGGAAGCAGATGCAGAGGAAGTTCTAGATCCGCTCGGTCGGCAAACACTCATTGAGCACCTTCAGCCCACGTGCAGGGGGCTGTCTTAGGTGCCAGGGGTACTGCTGTGGACGACAGGCAGTTGCCCCACGCAGCTTTGATTCGGCGGGCAAGGCAGAAGATAAACCAGGAGGTAAACAGACAAACGCGCCAATATTTGATAGCGTCTTGGGATGCTGGAGAAAATGATGAAGGCCAAGGGACAGAAGATGACTGGGTGGGGGTGCTGGGCGAGGAGGTGGTCTCCCTTACTTTAGAGCAGGTGCTCAGTGAGGGTCTCTCAGAGGAGGTGACATCTGAGCTGAGGCTGGAGGCTGAGAAGGACCCAGATGGAAGAAGGAAGAATTGCCTTCTCCCACCTGCTTTCTCCCACCCCCCTCTGGACCGGGCATGTCCACAGTTCCTAAAACATTTTCCGCCTTCTATCTCTTCTGCTTTTCTCACAATGGCCCTGAAAACCAGATGGGGAGACTTGAAGTACCCAATGTGCAGCTGAGGAAACCGAGGCTGGAGGTGAGAGGGGTTTGTAAAGTTTGATGCTTGAATGCCAGGACCAGACCCCGCCCCCTCCCTGGGGCCTGGGGCTCCTCCAGCCACCCCATCGGCCAGCTGGTTCCTCAATGCCCAGGTCTGGGCAGGCTGCAGCCAGAGGGGAGTCAGGCAGTGGGCATCGTTTCTCTGGGGTCACGGGGCTGGAAACGTGGGCTGCTGGGCAGAGCCCGGGAAGGGCAGCAGCTAGGGGCTGGGCTGGGGTCCGGAGCGGAAGGCGCCCAGCCCTGATTGGAACAAGGTGGCTGCACTGGGAGCCCAGCCTGGCGTCATTGATCTTGCCCGGTGTTCCAGCCACCAGGCGGGGCCAGCGCCGGGCAGGCTGCCGGGTTTCCCAGGTGTGGGGACACCCTGGGGGAATGGCTTTTCATGTGGTCATGGGGTAGGCAAGCCACCCAGCACGTGGGGGAAGCCAGGGCGTTGGGGGCACGCTGGCAGTTGGGCGGGGGGGGCGTCCTGGAGACTTAAAATCCCACAGCCAGCAAATGTCAGGCTCTGGAGACAGGGTCACAGACTTGAGGCGCTGAGACTGACAACGTTAGAACCCCCGTCCCTGGAACTCACATTAATTGAGTGCTCCCCGTGTGCTTGGCACTGTCACCATCACTGCACCCGAGGAGGTGGGCTCTGGTGTCACCCCCACATGGTACGCAGACTGAGGCTCAGCGGGCTAGAGGAACCTGCCTGCGGTTACACAGTTACAAGGCTTTTGTCCTAGAATATACGATCCCTAGGATCAGAGAGTCTTAGGGGGTGGGAATCACAACTGGTCAACACTGGGAGGACCGTGAAGATCCTTGAGTCCAAGTCCCTTATGCCAGAGAAACAGGTCGGAGGAGGGGACGTGGTTTACTGAGGTCACAGCATGGCCAGTGGCCAAAGTCAGGACTCACCACTCACCTTGGGAGCTTGGCTGGGCCCTGAATGTGGGATCCGGGGGGCACACTTGGCCCCTTTGACCCTTAGTTAAGACCTATTCTCTCTCATGTTACCGAACTTTCTGGTAGGTAACTGACCGTTTCCTGCTAGCCCACAGGGAGTTCTTTGAAATATTTAATTGAATACCTCCTGTTGCAGGGAACCTTTCCTTCTAATCTTGCAATCCTTGTGGGAGGAGTTTGGTCATTGATGCAAGTCCTCTTGGAGCGACTGTCAGTTTAGCAGAGCAGGATGGGCTTAGGGATAGGGTTTGTAGAACTGAGGGCCTGGAACAGGGGAGGGATTAGCTCTTTGGGATTCTGCACGGCCAACACCCCCATCTCTCTGTCCTCATCTCCTTCTACCTACCCCCTTCCTATATGCAGCCACACTAGCTTTCCTTGCTGGTCCTTAAATACCAATCCTACCCCTACTGCTGGGC